TGCGGCTGGGCCCCATCCAAAAATAGCAGTCTACAAAACAACAAACAAAAATTCAGAACCACTCAAGAGCCAGGTTTACATCAGATCCCAGTCTCTACTTTCAGAGAATCAGGATATGTTCAGTCATCATGGAAGATATTTGAAGATTCTTGAAGGTTTTAGTAGGTTCTGGAGGAGTTCTACAAAGGTTTGGTTCTGTAAGGTTCAGCGCGTAGAATGGCATTGTTTTCATCTCATCTTCTTCAGTCTGGCTTGGTTCTCCTTTTCTCGTTTCTTTAAGGCTGTGATGTAATGGTTGAAGAGGACTTCCTGTTCTGTTTTTCTCTTGAGGGCATTGAACCGCTGGTCACCACAGTAGCGAGTACAGAACTCCTTAAATGTCAATCTGCAGAAAAAAAGAAAGAGATATGAAAATCAGCATTTCCCTCTGAATATTGACGATTCAGGTCACCAGAAGCGAACATTATGAGTGCATCTTTTCAGATCACTGCAGTTTATTTTCTCTGAGCCACAAAGCAACACCAGGCATCTCTTCCATTTGATTGGTGCAACCTGATTTATTAAATCACTAGTTTGAAACTAGTGGGCATTTCATAATCATAATCACCTTTATTTGGCCAAGTATGTTACACACACAAGGAATTTGTTTCCGGTACAGAACCGAGGCAGCCATCTGTGCCGCCAACTCACACCAATGGCTCTAACCATCAGGGGCAACTTGTGTCTTTCCCAAGGACACTTTGACCTACCCACTGAGCCACAGTCAATTTGAACCTTCAACCCTCAGGTTGGGAGATGACTGCTCTACCCACTGAGCCACAGTCGCCTCCAATTTACTAAGAACTAATGAGGGACTTTAGACACAAGCTGGGTGAAATCTTCTCTTTGACTCAGGATTAGATGAATAAAGATCTATTAAGCATTTCCTTCTAGTGATGATTTGATTCTCTGATGTTTAGGGTGCAGCTTTAAAAATACTTTGTACCAAGCACACAGAGATGACCTACTGGTCCAGATGAGGACGTGGACTCAGCTCAGATCCAGAAACAGAGCTGAATAATTAAGGGTGGTGAATAGTGAATGACCGATACCTGCTGGTTATCTTCACCTCCTCCAGCAGCTGTCTGAACTCTTCTCTGGCTTTCTGCAGTTTACTTTTCTTCTCTTTGTACTCGTCCTTTACCCTGCTCTTTACAAACTGATCAAACACCTGCACGCACAGACAACAGTGATGTCAAAGTAACACCATAAAGGTTTGTCATTCACTAAAAGACCACAACAGACACAACAGTGTTGTTACATCAGAGCATGTTAAACTGAACCTGTTTCCTCTGATCTGATGTAAGCAGCAGGTATCGAGGATCAAACACTATCTTATGGAGCTCTTTCTCCCAGGTTGAGAACGCTGACACCTGAGACACAGGTCAGTAGATAGATTTATTATGTTTAATGGGTGTGTTCAGTAAAGACATGAAAGATCAGGACTGTTTGTGCTTTCTTTATCAGCTTAGAAATATTGTGTTTGATGATATTTGTGACTGGTGAAGATCAGACCACATCTCATGACCAATTTATGCAGAAAACCAAGAAAAATACCATGACTTTTTCTTATGACTGTATCTGTAGTTATATCTGTATCTATACAACGCATGTACATACTGTATGTGTATGTACATATTTGTGTGTGGGTGTTACCCCTCTCTCCAGCATCATTTCTCTGAAGTGAGCCATACGAAGCTCCAGTGAGAGAAGCTCTCCTGGATGAGAGACAAGCGATGTAGTCTCCTCTGCCCTACAGAGTGAGAGAGATGTAGAGAGACAGTGAGAAAAAGCATACAGAGAGAGAGACAGGGAGACGAAGACCGGTGTGGTTGTTTTTTATAGCGACTGAGAAACCTTGAACCAAAAGTGACCAATCATATCACTCAGTGATGATGACATAAACGAGTAAGATGCTCTCTGATTGGTCAGACTCGCCTGTTCCTCTTAGAGCTGTGTTTAAGTTCATCATCTTCATCATTACCATGGAGACCAGGTAAATGACAGCTGGAGCTGATGTCTGTCAGAAAGAGTTCAACAGTTTAAACAGTGTGGGGAGACAGAAAAGTGAGATGACAGAAGTGACAGGTGAGATGACAGACCATCGCGTGTCATCTTCTTCCTCTTGTGAGGTGGGTCTTCGATGATACTGCTGATGTCTCGGCCAATCAGCTCCCCTGGTCTCTCCCAGACAGACAAGTGTATTGTGGGATTGAAGAAGAAGACCCGATCATCTCCAGTCCACACCACACACCTAAACACACAATATTGTGACATTGCTGTCACTCTGGTTACATGAGTCCTAACAGCCCTTGTACCCGCCCACCAGATACCTCGGGAAACGGACCGGAAACCTTCACCAAGTCCACAGAACACATGTACTGCATCAGTTGCAAATTTGGACACGCATTCCCATTTGTTCTTTGCTTTGTTTCTATTACTTTCTATGTTTTAGAGTCATAATGACATCAGAACTATTAAATACACGCGCGCACACACGAAATTATGTAGCAAGCAAAAATTGTAAACTGAATGGTTTTCATCAGTCTAACAGAAGTTCTCACATGTGCTGAGTGCTTCACCATCTCAGCTGGGTTTAGGTCAGATGACTGCAGAGGAAAGGTCACCTGATGCAGCGCTCCATCACTCTCTTTACAGAGCCTCGAGGTTTTGGCTCATTGTCCTGTTGAAAAACAAATGATGGTCCCACTGAGCTCAGGACAGCATGTTGCTGCAGGATGGTGTGGTAGCCATGCTGGTTAAGTGCACCTGAATAAATCACCACCAGTGTCACCACAACCCTCCCCCCCACATACACACACAGACACCATCACACCTCCTACTCCATGTTTCACAGTGAGAACCACACTTGTAGATACCACCTGTCTCACAAAAATACGACGGTCAATAAATCAGTGAAGTATCTTTCTATATAGCTAGAACCAAAAATCACAAGTCTGGACTCAACAGACCAAATTCCAGCTTTCCACTGGTCTAAGTACAGACCTTGTGTTTCTCCTCTTCTTACTGGTCTCCCTCAGTCGTCGATTATCTGCAGCAATTCGACCACTGATGTTGAGATGTGTCTGCTACTTGAACTCAAAGAACCATTCATGTAGCCTCTAATCTGATGTGCTGCTAATTGGTGATTTCAGAGGCTGGTGACTTTAATGAACTTATCCTCTGCAGCAGAGGTCTTCCTTTCCTGGGGCATCCTCATGAGAGCCAGCTTCATCAGAGCATTTGATGGTTCTAAGACTGCATAAGGAAATGTTCAAAGATCTTGAAGTATTCCGGATTGAATGACCTTCATGTCTCAAAGTAACGATGGATGTTGTTTCTCTTTACGGAGTTGACTGGTTCTTGCCATGATGTGCATTACTGCAGTACTGGAAAGTTTGCTGTTTAACTACTCAGCACAACACAAGTGATGGTCTCGTTAAGACAAGACATTCCACCGGGTACCTTTTGACAAGACACACCTGTTCACTGAAAACCATCCAGGTGAATTCCTCATGAAGGTTCCTGAGATTCTGCCAACTGTGTGTAAAGATGTCATCAAGGAACAGTATAGACAGACAAAGAGTTACAGTTACAGACAGACAGATGGACAGTTACAAACTATTACAATTATAGATAGACAGCTACAAACAGTTACATACAGACAGAAAGACAGACAGTTACAGATGGACAGGTATATACTGTTACACACAGATAGCCTGACGTGTTTAAACACAAAATGACGTGTTGGTCTGTATCCATTCGTGGTTGTCATGGTAACACTGCTGAAAGAGGCTGGTTAAACCTCACTGTTGAACATCAGACTCACATTAAAAACATTGGGAGGCGCTGCTCTGATGCTGAAGATGCTTTGTTTAATACTAAAAATCAATAATTATGAACATCAATAAACTGTGTGTCTTTATTGCATTGAGTGGACCAGTGTTTTTATGACACTGTTGTAAAGACATGTTGTCTGGGACTCACACCTCCAAAGGGTTGGGTTCAGGTTAGAATCAGGTTTAGGCTATGGTTAAGGTTAGGGGTCAGCGTTAAGGGATGTATTATGTCAATGAGGGTCCTCACACATATAGCTAAACAAACGTGTGCATGTGTGTATGTCAGAGCAGCAGTTACCATGGCGACCCTGGGACAGGAGTGGAGGCAACAGGACGTTTGTTTTTCCTTCCTTCTTCACTGTCCTCCTCCCTCTTGCCATCTTCATCATCTCCTCTGTCTGCAGACACAGTGGTACACTGCAACAGACACAGGAAACAGATCTAAACCCAGAACCTAACCGGAGCTGATCTGAGAATAGTTTAACAGACTGATCAGTGATCAAGATGGTGCCACAGATAGCAGCCTCAGCTGTGTGTGTGGGTGTGCACTCTTGTGCTTTTCCTGTTTTTCGCTTTTTTTGTCAGTTTTCTGCAATCCATCTTGAATTCTTTTTACAAGAGAAGAGCTCTTGAAGATACAGCAGCTCACTCCAAAAACTTTTCTCCCATTTTAAAGAAACGGAAAACTGCTCCCATCTATCCATTTAGCAACTCTCCGCTCTCTAGCCAACTACTCCTCGGCAACCAGGCTAACTCTCACTTTCTGCTAGTCTGTGCTTCATTGAGATATGGCTCAGTGAGTTGATCCTGGACAGTGCAGCTCAGCTGCCAGGCTTCCAGATCCACAGAGCGGAGCACGCAATGGAGTTATCTGGGAAAATGAGAGGAGGTGAAATCTGCTTCTACATAAATGAAGGTTGGTGTAAAGATGTCACAGTGTTAGGGAAAACTTGCAACACTGATTTAGAAACACTGTTCTTTAACTGCAAACCGTTTTACTCATAGCTGGAGTTTTACTAATTTCTACTGACTGGGGTTTACATCCCCCCTCGGGCCTGTGTTAGTGAGGTGATAGCCCTCAGTCCCTCTGATCACTGCATGGTCCATCTCATCCCAACATACAGGCAGAAGCTTAAAGCTGTGAATCCTGTGATGAGAACAGTGAAAAGATGGACTGAGCAGGCAATGTCAGAGCTACAGGCCTGCTCTGTGTTGAGCTGCAGGCCACTCAACGATTGCGCGGATACAGATGCAACATCACGTGGTGGTCATCGCAATATCAGGGGACTTCAACCACGTGACGTTTTGTGAACAGCCCCACCAGGAAGGACAGGACAATAGACTTCCTGTATGCAAATGTTAAAGACACATGTAGGGCATCTCCCCTTCCTCCCTTGAGTAAAGCTGACCACAGCTTGTAAGTTAAATTAACACATGGCTCTAGCCTCACCCAGTGTTACGGTAACCTTATAAGCCTGTCTGAGTAAATCTGACCACAGCTTGTAAAAGTTAAATTAACACATGGCTCTAGCCTCACCCAGTGTTACGGTAACCTTATAAGCCTGTAACATTACATGGTCAACTTATCAGAGTGCATTTTGAGGTCTCTGATAAAATGGCACAGCAGATGCAGGTGTGATCGCTACAGTCACAGTGTTGTTGCTGCACTTTAGTTATCTGTGGCAGCATACGACATGCATGTGTAGAGTCGTGTGATAATAGGAAAAGGATGACATACAGCTCGTCAGTCATGCCCTTAATGTTAATGTGCTAAATAAAAAATAAAAAGTACAACAGACACTGTTCATGAATCCCATTTCTCGAATCTGAGATGAATCTCAGGTCTTTTGAGGACAAGTCGCAAGTTGAGTCTCAAGTCACTGTGTGCGCAACTTAAGCCCAAGTCACAAACTCAAGTCCCCATCTCTGGTCTGTGGACGGATGTTAGAACTCACCTGTCTGTTGTCGTCTGTCGTTCTCTCCGTCCTCAGCAATAATGCTCCTCGATAAGAAACTTTACCTCCACCCATCCCTTGCTTCTCTGACAGACAGAAACAATAAAACTTATATCATTTGTCTACTGGATATACATTGTCTCCTCTCTCTCTCTCTCTCTCTCTCCCTGTACCTTTCTGCAGGTACCCCTGCCTCCTGAGCTC